CCATCGAAAAATATTGATTTTTAAGAACTGTATGCCATTTCTATGAAAATATTTTTTGATTTCGAAATAAAAAATAGGGGCATATTTTTCGGTATAGAACAATCCTAGGGATTGAGAGCATAAAAATAGGATTGTTCTATACCGAAAAATATGCCCCTATTTTTTACTTCGAAATCAAAAAATATTTATAGGTCGCTCAAAGCGCTCAAAATTTTCTATATATTTTATATGGAGAAAACACCTTTTCATAGAAATGGCATACAGTTCTTAAAAATCAATATTTTTCGATGGGAAAACTTTGTTTCTCTGTAGGAGACTCCCAGTAATAATACCCAGTTGATTAATTAACCATTTTTACTTACTAACTATAATTTATAGGTCAGCCAAAAACCCCATATTTTTCGGTAGAGAACAATCCTAGGGATTGAGAGCATACAAATTCTCATGCATTTTTGTAACACCCTAATATACATATACACACACACACATTTAAACCTGAAATCTCTTAATATCTCAGAGTAAAGTAATTTGAATTCAAATTGATACAAATGTCTATAGGTACGTTTTTACCTACATCGATTTTGTTGCAAAGAAAGAAGCAAATTTATTGAAATTAATTAAGTCAGACACAGATTATTTTTGTACTGTACCTACAAAAACAATAAAAATATACAAATTTCCATTTACGCAGTGTATTTTTTAAGAGTAATAAGTCAGTAACCGTTTCACCTAAATTATTAATTTTCCATAAAATATTAAAGTTTCGCTTTTGATTGAGTCACTCGAGTCTTCGTTTTAATTTTAAAATTTTGTTTATTTCCAGACTAACACGTTCCAGATGGTTTTGGCCACTGATGAAGTATACACATATGCCATATACAATTATGATTTACTGAGATGGTCTTCGAATACGGAGGCAGGTGGCGATACAACGACGGGTGAAGGCGGAGTACCCGCTTTTGTAAGTATTAACGAAGTGGCTAATCCAGTTAATGAATTTGTGCGTGCTGCTTATCATAGTGACTATATGTGTTTTTAAACAAAATATATAGTTTTTAATTTTTTTAAGCAAATCAAAATCACTCGACTGATTGATTTTTATTTTTATTTTTATTATCCAACTTCGTTTGTGATTTGAAAACAGAAAAAAAACCAAGATGTGTAGTTCGGAGTGTTTGAGCTGGTTTCTAAAGAGGATTTAAAATTTGAAAATTTTGGCAGAAAGTGGAATTACTTATAGCGTCAAGCCGTCTTAAAATCACAATTTTTTTTGTTTGTAAAATAATGGTTTAAATGTTTTTGGGATTTGAATCTAAAACCAAATGCTGTTAAACTCACAGAAATTATATTATTTATTGGCTGATATTATACCCTGCGTAACGCTTAAAACCGCTTTAGCCGATATTTTACATTGAAAAATTTTACGACTTAAAGACATTACGACGCTTAAGCTATCTTGTGAGTCCCCTATGTTTGTATAAAAAGAACTAAAATATAATTTCGGTACTCAGACCACTTCAGTAAAATGTAGTCAGACATTTTTTTTTAGAAAATTTTAACTTTAACGTTTACATAACGGACCTTTTAAACCACAATTTTCAAGGTTATACATGTTCGACCATTAAAAGTCAAAAAGCTCTACAAAAATGCTAAGTTGAATTCTTACTTAATGCTACTGAAGTTATAAAAAATATCCGTTTTCGTAAAACTCCAAATATTATCCTTTAAAATTCGGTCCATTAAATAGGGTGCACGCTGATATAACTAAAACTATAGTAACATATTCGGAATGAGATTGACTGATAGGCTGTTTGTACCTTTATCTGCCCTTTGCTCATGTCATTATGCCTTTAAAAAAAAAAACATGTGTCCTAGTGGATTTTTCCAAATCCCATTTTTAATCACCTTAACCTCAAAAAAGGTTCCAAAAAGTCATAGTTATAATAGGCATATAATTCAGTTTGCAGTGAATTGTTTTAAAATACCATTCAATAAATGCGCAAACTACATACGCATCCACATGTATATGTTTGTGTGAATATGTGTGGTATTTTAAATTAAGTTTCTGACTGTCCTGGTTAACCACAACACGAACTGTCATGGGAATCCCGTAAAGCTAAATAAGTTAATTAATTTCCATGTTTGAATGTGTTCAACGGGTGAATTAAATTACAAAACATACGTTTCCTAGTATTTCCATACAAACATCGATTTTCATATACATACATACATAAATGATTTCATGTGAACAATTATTTTGTACAGGTGGGCTTCAATGCCGGCAATGGCACACGATCCTACGAATATACGCCATACAGCCAACAGATGGTGATACGTGACTTAACGGGACGTGGTTGGGGCAATGGTTTCCCAGGACGCCATCTTTTCCGCATAGATGAACAAATTTTAATTGGCTCTTGTAATAAGGATATCGGTGCGTATCATATACATACTTAGTAATGTTATTATGAGTGTAATGCCGCAACAAGTTATTGACGGCTGACTAATGTGGTCTGACTGATTAGACTGCGTATATGACAAATCATAAAAATAATAATAATGTTATCAATATTGTTATTGTTGTTGTTGTTGTTCAATATAGATGCTTCACATTTGCCGCTGACATTTGCACCAGAAGCTGGAAATATGCTTGGTGGCACTGTGGTCAACATTACCGGCCCCTGTTTCGATCCAAAGAAACGCGTGACTTGCCACTTCGATACAGAAGATGTATTGGGTACTTATGTGAGTACGAATCGTGTGATTTGCGTGCAGCCATTCTTAAAGGCGGAAGGTTGGGTGCGTTTTGAGATTTCAATTGGCAATCAGCGTTTCAAATGGCGTGGCAAATACTTTGTGGGTAAGTAGTAGTGATATTTTGTGAATTTTACTTTTACTTTTATGTCTCGACTAAAACTTGCAATTCTCATTTTTTTTTTTTCAGAAACTCCCGCTTTGGCTACAGAGAAAATTTTCTTCGAAACGGAAGATGTACACCAGAAGTCTCCCGATCAAATACAAATCAGCTGGGATCCTTATAATTTGACTTCGAATGGAAATGCTAATATAATGATCTCTCTTTGGGGCTATCGTGAAGTAACCATTTAGTAAGTTTTAAGATCGCAAAAATTTCAAAAAATATTCACTAATAAATCATCTTTACAGTCCACAATTGGAGTATATTGATGTAATCGAGGCTGGTTTAACCAACACTGGCTCATATGTGATTTATCCCAATAACTACATAAATCGCAATAATTACAACAACGATCTGCAATTCGGTTTCTTGCAAATCAACCTAACCAATCCACAACAGTATTCGGGGTTGAAGATCAGTCCGTAAGTATTAGAATTTATTTTAGAATGGCAGGGCCGTACATACGTATACGCCTGGCAGATAAAAACAGAACAATTTTTTTTTTCAAGTACTGGGGTAATTTTTCCCTTCATTATGATTTAAAAAAAAAAATCTGTATGAAATTTAGAATTTTTTGGTCAATATCCTTGGGTGAGCAAGTGTATCAAAATTCAAAATGCTCAAAAAATAAAAACTAATAAATAAAGTAACTAATACATTTTTTACCAAAATTGCAATAATCTTCTAAAGTATTAGTCGTACATAATTTATTATATGGACCTTTTTGTAGAGAATCGAAGTTAGTTAAGGAGAAACTTTGATGGATTTGGATATTGTTCAAAAATTTTCACATTTCACACCGATTATTTTTAGAGTATAATGAACCATATTTTTGCTATTACCAATCAAAATTCTAAAAAAGCGGATTTTCGGCCCACGTTATTGTATAATTTTCTAAAGATAGGAATAAGTACCACATTTTTCACCCTATTTGTACAGTGATTTTTTTGAGCACAGCCTAAAACTATATAAAATAGTTGAGCAAATTGCCTGGGCTACAAAAAAATCGCTATAGTAGCGTAGTTCGAAAGAAAAGTCCTTTTTATATTTCGCAGGTAAAATTTAGCTTATAGTCCTTTAAGTGTTGGATATTCAATATTCCACAATTGCTTATGTTTAATTTGTTATTTTCTAAGAAATAATATTTCAATATTTTTTTACAACATCCTCGCATTAAGGGCCTGCTTTGAAAAGTACAACATTCACTTAACTGTATTAGGTTCCCTGCGGTCATTTGCTGCATCAGCTCGAAACAAAAAATGTTCAGATAATAATAGCCTTCTATACACACTCCTTCGCTTAAACAAACACCCATATGTATGTATGTATCATAAGCACAACCATGCACGAGAGCAAAAAAAAAGTATGCATTTGTCAGTATTTTCATTCAATTTGTCGCAATGTATTTTCCATATGCCCACTTGGCATTTGTCGCCATCACTTTGTGTTATTTTTGCATTTGAATGTCATCAATATGCAATAATTCAATTCAATTGTAAAATCAATTGTCTGTGCACAAGGTGAACTTAGTTAGTGTCAGAGTGTGCACAGCTTGTGGCAGCTTGTGTGGATGCCATGAGTAGTAATTGGATGTAAATATGTGCATTTGTAAGGCATTTGATGCAGCATTTATCCGAGTGCCGCAATAAAACAATGCTTTTAACTAATAAAAGAACTTTTACTATTCAACAAATTTCTGGGTCAATGGTGCATTTGAAATGTAATTAGTATGTATGTGTGTAACAAAGCACTTGATTGTTATGCAACTACAACACAGTCAGAAGAAGGGTAAGGACCACTTGCTAGCGTTTAGTAAAACTTGATATTACATGTATGTATGTAGATGTGTGCACATTTGCATGCATGGTTGTATGCATGCAAGTTTCAAGTTGCATGCATTTAATAGGCTGCATCAAAATTAATAACAATATTATTTGTATATTATTATTACAATGCAATTAAAAGTTATTTATCAGGTTTCATTTATGAGCATGCGAACCTTTTGTATTGATGTACATGGCGTATGAGTAACTACGTAACAACTAGCAAAATTGAAGGGGTTAGAATCATGAGGGTCTAAGTGACATTTTTTGAAAATATAAGTTATACCC